CTTTGCATATATGTAGTAGATGATTTAGTTAAATTGGATTGTTCGGTTCCTCACCTGTGGCTGCACCAGCAGTAAGTGTTGATATATCTCCGTGTGAACGGACGTTGACAGCAGAGCCAATGGCGGACATGAGGTGGTTGCAATCAGCTCCCATAGCTTCAGCAGCCTCCACGCATTGCGCAGCCACCAAACTGGCGGCGGAAGCCACCGCCATATCAGTTTTCGCCATCTGCTCATCCTTACCTTTGGAAGATGCAGTTGCTGTGGCTGCTGCTATTGCAGCCACGGCTGCAGCCACCCCGGCAATTGAAACAGCCGCGTGGAGCTGGGCATTTTGAGCCCTCGTCTCTTCTTTCTTCTTCTCTCGTCTCTCCTTTAACCACCTCCCGACTGTCTTGCCACGAGGCGTGCTAGGGCCACCAGCTGCGGCGCCACTATAGGCAGCATGTGTTCCAGCGAATAGCGGTTGTATTGTGTTGTTTGCACGTAAATACTGAAAACATCATTTAAACCCAACTAATGATAAGCATGCATCGATATACATAAAGATTGTAACCAACAGTTTGCTAGGCTAGATAGTATTTAACCGAACTAGAAAGAGGTATGTTCTGTCGAACATAACGTATCAAACATGTAAAAAATTTACTTCCATTGGATGCGAATTAGTGGTGTCAATCAAGTCGGGATGGTCACAGAGAGGCCAAAAACATCCCGTTTAGAAAAAAATTGCGGAGCCTTTTCTTGTGACACATTTCTCTACGTCCCGTAAGCCTGTCTCAAGGTGGGATTGACTGAAACGTGCCAAAATACCAAACGTATCGTTCTTTCGATACAGTCAATACTGCCATGCCTGGCACGGGCAACCCACTTTTCAACACGGTGCTGGGAACATTTTTTTTTAACCCCACTAAGGTGAACTTAGGGAGAAATCTGAGAAAGAAAACTCAGACTGTACAGAAGAAAATCGCTAAACAAGAAAAAGTTACAAAAGGTTGATTCAAAAGGGAATACTACTGCTTGTGCTTTTTTTGGAAGGAAACAAATTATAAGCAGAAATTTGTTCAGAGAGAATCAATTGAGCTCTTAAATTGGAACTAAATGCTACCATTCATTCGATCATTTACTGCCTGCCTTATATTCATGACAATATACTTAAATTTCTTTTTGATGGCTGAAATTTTCTTGGCACAAACTCCAAATTCGTCTTTGATGCAGTTTCACTATGAGAACAAATCTTTCCTAGATTTGTACTCGAAGTGTGGGCATTAGGATGTTGAGGAGACATTTATGAGAGGATTGGAAATGACGTATAAGACCGTGTCGACCCAATAAAAATAGAAAAAAGAAACAACATAATGAGGCTAAATTCTTCATCTTTTTTACTTTTTGGCCAGTTTTTTAAGGATTGGTCATTTTTTCTCGAGTGAAAAGGGATTAAACTTGTTCTTTTACATGCGAAAATCAAACTAAATCAACGTTTAGGAAAGTCAAAAGTGACCGATCAAACGTCTAAAGAATCCTTATAAAGAAGCAAAAGTTAATATCGAAAGTGACTAAAGCATTCTTTGTTTTGCACTTTTCTGCAAAAGCACTTGTGAAAGCTGAAATTTAATGGCTGCAATTTTGCATAAATCATTATGCTCTTTATCTTCTAAGAAGACCCCATCATTGACTAATCATCATTGGAATAACTTCTTGTTTATCTCCCCAAAAAAAAAATAATAATAATAATAAATAAATAAATAAATTTACAAAATTTCCCCACAAAATCCAAGATATTCTTGAAAACACAAATATACAAATAGAAACCAAAGGTATTAGGGGTTAAGCTTTAATCCCTTCTTACAAGATCAATAGTAAACAAAAAATAAGCTGAGACCTTTGAAGAATTTACTATAATTAAGTAGAGTAGCACTACATGGATCCCATGAAAAGTGTGAATGATAAGTACTTAGCATTTGTAAATATATGATTAAAATTAATGTTTAACTTTGATTTCAAATTATATGAGATTATAATGAAAATCAAACAAACATGTTTCTTTGTATGCCTTTCGCAAACTCAAAAATTAGCATAGGAATATTAGCGTGACCGAGATTACATGTACGAAACACCCAATACGCTCAAGGTATAAGATACTAATATACTCACGAAAATATTAAGCCGACATGTCGTTGATGATAAATGTACGCTGTGATTGAACTTTTTAGTGTAACAAAAGAGATTTAAGATAAATCAAGAAGAAAATACCTTAACTATGTCCTCAAACTCCTCAGATGGAGAGATTGGAGGGCTGTCTGTTTCTTCTGTCAAACAGGCATTCAGAGGCCCACTGCTATGAGACAGTCTTCCAGATGTTAGTGGTGATATTTCCTGCATTTTCCATTACTATATTAAATCTCATAACTATTGAACCATTTCTTCAAAATCCCTTTTGTAAACAAGAAAGAATATTGGAAAAAGATAAATTACCATCACAGAGCATAAAGTGAAATGATAGATGCATTTAGATTCCGAAAACATATATTGTACTAGACGTGATTTGACAGTGTTCTTTTCTTCTTTACTACTGTTGAGTCGAGCTTAACATGAGGGACTTACCGATTGAGACATGATGCGTTCGAGGACTAGTTGAGAAGTTGTCGAAGAAGCAAAAGAGAATGTGTTTCCCAAAAGCTTGGCAGATTCTTCTTCTTCCCCAGCAATATTTTCTGGGATGGCAGCATGACTATTACTAGCCGATGCCCCGTTCTTTTGTAGTGACATGAATGGAGGAGTTGGTGAAGCTAAAGCCTTGGACACTTGCAAGGCTGAGGCACTCCATGATCTTGAGAGAAATTCCATGGGCCCTCTTGGGCTTTCCGGCAGTTGAATTTCGCCGCCGGCGGAGTTTTTCTCAGCCCATAACAAATCCATTGTGGTATGCATATCAGAAAGTGTGAAGTGGTAAGCCTATTGATTGAAGTGATGGTCCAGTTTTTGGGTTGGTTTCGGAGAAACTCCTGCCCCCGCGGGGTATGTATTGGGATTCCTTTATAGAGTAGCTGTGGTGAACTTTTTGAATAGGTTTAGCACTCAGTTGGCAAGATTTCAAATCATCTTTGACAAAAACAAATTTAATCCAACCATTAAAAAAAATAAAACTATTTGTACAAAATTTGATTGATGAAATGATTTACTCACTCTCACATGCATGCGGGTCTTTCTTTTATTAAAAAATTCGGCTATGTGGTCTCTACCAATTTATTGTGAGAGTGGGTAAAACTTTTAGTACAAATGTGATTGTACATGTAGCACAATCCTAAAAAAATGTCACATTTTTAAGGTGTAATGCATAATGTACAAGTAATTTAATTCATAGAATTAAAAACATGTTAGGTCCCAAATTTTTAACACTCGTTTCATGTTTGGTTCCAGTTTTAAAATTAATTTTTTTTTCAAATTTATTTTTAACCACATATTTTATGAGATTCACAACTTCTATCAACTTTTCAATTACACATTTCTCTAATTGTATCAAAATTTACTAAAAATTTGATTTTTATCTAAACCAAATAGGAGCTCATTTTTTTCTCCAAATTCAATTTCAACCACACCATTTTATTAACTTTTCAACCATACATCTCATCAATTTTTCCCAAAATTTGCTATAACTCTTATTTTTAAACAAAATCAAACAGAGGCTAAAAAGTTTTCTTTGCGATCATAAGGTTCCTTTGACGATGTCTATAGCATATTTGGTGCATAATTGTCGGAGTGCAACATGTAGCATGTACTATAAAATGAATGAATTGAAATTCGAGTTGGGCCACACACTTACAGGATGGCGCCACTGGTTCATCAAGAATAATTCTTGAAATTATAGAGAGATTAGAGACCAAAATACTAAGAAACATAAGTTAGAGATCCAAATATTATACTATGCAAAAGTTGTGAATCCCATGAGCGATTTTGCCCAAAAAATAAGCGATTTTGCCTTTTTTAAGAGAGAGGATTTGTCAATAATGATGTGCTAAATCTTGCTTCTTTAGAGGTAAATCACGATTTCTTCTATCAAATTGTATAAGTACACTCAATCTCAATCAAATAAGTCATCAAGACATCAACGCTATAGATCTACTAGCCGTATATTTACATTTTACCTTCTACATATAGCTTCATAATTCATAAGCAAACTAATGACAAATGAAAGACGATTAGACTTGAATTCGCCAACTGTATACATTAACTCGAACGATCCACAAGAAAGGGGACAAAGAATGGTACTTTTTCCAATTGTACATCCAATTCCTTGCATGTCTCAAGAATGGGCAACATCACAATCCGACCAACTCTGTTTTGACCCCAAATTTTTTTTCAAACAATCGCTGTAAATCTCTGTACCAATTTCCAACTTCTGTATTCAAGGTGTGCCTGAATACGTCATCATACCCACCCCCACCCCAGTTCTTTAGATTCTCCCTCTCAAAACTCAATGTCCCTTCTCCAAATTATCTGAAGAAAGCTTTTGGCTTCGGGTACATGCAAGAAGAGACAATAACTTCTTGCCAGCATAAAGAGACAGCTTTATTCCCTTTGCTTCATAATATTAAATCATTAACTTGTCATCTCCTTTTCAGTTTTTGCATTCAAATCTACTTTCCTCGTTAATATTTCAAACCGCTCAGTCTTTTTCTGCCTTCAATCTTTTCCTTTTACAGACCTGATGCCATTCCATACAGAAATCACTAAAGAGCTACAGTACAATTTTCACAGTTAAACCAAATTATTTAGAGTCAGAATCTTATGACATTTTTATTTAGCATTTTCATAATATTAGGAAATCGACTCGAAGGCCATTTTTTTGCCTACCTCATTCATTAAAGTAACATCGCTCTCCCTCGAGACGTGATTCAGATGTGTATATCTTATCAGAATTTTTAATAATGTGAACTAGATACCACCAACAATATTAAACAAGGAAAAGAAATCCAAAATATTATCATCGTAGTCCAATAGAATGTACGAAAACATACCCTTAATTTCTATTTGCCAATATTTTGAGAAGTCGAAAATAGTTCATACGGTTTTCTATTTCCACTTTCCCATGAACCAAGTAATTCGTGTGCATCTCAACAAGCATCAGTAGGTAGCTACTCAGTCGCCTAGTCTAAGTTAACATCATCTAATACAAGACGCAACAATTGAGACAACTATGCCTCCACAAGTCTACACGTGGGATAACAAAGATTCGTGCTCGTGTTTAGCTATTAATGCGACGTGATTAGTGAAAGTTAATGTTCTAATCACACAATATTCTCCTTGAAACTCTTTGTCAGCCAAATAGCAGTTTCTCTTGGAGAAACCTTTTCAGGTCCAAATGGTTTCAGCAACACTGCGAGCTCATCAAAGCGTTCTTGCTGCAAGAGTTGTGCGCTAAACTCGAGTAATCCTTCCAGTGCTTCTGCTCGCTGCTGGTAAGATGATGTGTCAAATCTACGCTCCCGGGAATCTGATGATGAACGGGTCGAACCAACTCGGCTGTTCAAATTGACCTCTGAAGACTCACTTCCATTACGTGGAAATCGACGAGCAGTGCTGGCAAGCATCTGGACTGTACATTTGTCTTTTGTGATTGAATGATCAACACTACAAGGCGAGGTTGCAGAACATTGAGCAGATATTGATGACGTTCGACGGATGGAAGACAGTGGATCTTCGGAAGACAATAGAGGAAACTCGACCATTTTGTCAATTCGAGGAGCATTGACAGATACATCGGGTGACTCCATACCATGGAGGAGACCAACACTTCTGACAGCTCTAGTAGGCAACGGAAGAGATGCTCGGCGTGTTGACTGGGATGGTTTTCTGACTGAAATCTGTGAGATTGGAAGCTGCATGTGCATGTAAAAATTATGTGAGTTTATTAGACGAACCTAAATATACAACTTGAACTTTAGAAACTGTTGTCACATTTTTTTTGTTCAAGAGACACCAATTCAACTAAATAAAATTATATCATAGTAACTGAATGAACTGAAAACAAACCAACCAACCAGTTCACGGGTTGATCCAGAGTAGGATATCTTTGATGGAGTTGTTTGTCTCTTCGGATTTGCAGAACCCTTTGTTGACATCACTTGTGGAGTTTTCAAAGCACTTGATAAGTTTGTAGTCCCCAACTTTTTTGCACCTGTAACTTCACCAACACTACCCACAGAGAGTTCTGAAAACTTTTCACTCAGATGGCTCAAAAAGTTTTGTGCTCTTCGAGGAGAACATAAAGAATCCAGGTCATGTCCAGATATACTAGGATTTAAGGCCCTGTTGTTACCAAATGACAGTCTTTTCTCTGTTTTTTCTTTGTTTGTAACAGCAGCATGCTCGAGAAATCTGTTTCTCTTGACATCAGTCGGAATACATAATTGGTTAGGAAAAGTATGCCTCCGAGGGTTGTTCGACTTCAGATGGATATTCAGGATGTAGGGCTGAAGATGTTGATGCCTGAGCAAGTTTGCAGCCTGGCAACAAAGAAAGTCTATCAAAATATTTAGAAGATGCAGCAACGTAGGAATGCATTTTTTGGTCCATCCTATATGATTGACAAGAAGAATCAGGTCTACATGCAACGTCACATTAACAAAGTACAAGTCAGTTTGGGAAAGCCCCACTGTTTTGCATTCAGGATGAAAAATAGGTAGTGGAATGGAATTAAATAATAATTTCATGCTGCCAAGTATCTCAAGTTTAAACCATAAAATTTCAGTATTACAACACAAGGGAAAGAGAACATACACTTGGCCGAAGTTCTGGGTTTTTTCGCAGCATACTCTTGATGAGCCCCCGGCTGTAAAAACAGGTTATTCAAGAAAATGTAATTAAGAACAAATGAAGTTCTTTTATCTGGAAAACTACAAGTCGAATGGAGGTTCAGTATAGAAACCGCAGGCTAATAAAGACTCACAATGCACCAGAATACAGGGTTGGAAGAGGAGACACTATAGATTTGTTTATTTTATTGATCAAACCCTGTATATCCTGTTCACCATGCAAATTTGAAATAAATAACAGGAAACAATAGGCAATAAACAGAATAAAGTAATAGACCCTAAATTGAAGAAATAAATAATCAATTAGATCCTGATACATCACAAGTATAAACTCTACTCATTTCACACAGAGTAACATGGCCATGAAATTACATATTTTCAATGGTTAATTTTACAGTATGTAAAGAGATAAAGCCTCAGAGAAGAATGTGTCATCGTCTATTGACAATCATCATAAGTACGGACTTGTTTTCTGTAGTGGTCGTAGAGTCCTCAAACAATACACTAAACGGATATTTATACAAGACCAAAAATGTCTATTATTGAAACCTGAATATCGATGTGTGAATGTGCAGGTTTCTAAAAATACCCATAATGAGATCGGAAAGAACGAAAATTGACTTACAAAGGCTTTAAATGCTGGTTTGTGAGCAGCCATTTCATATAGACAGCATCCTGCATAAGGCATGCTAAGATCATGTTGAAGGTCATGAAAAAAAAAAAAAAGTACACAAATGTAGCCAGGTCTCTGACTCTTAAATGATTAGTGATTACCCAAGGACCAGATATCTGACTTGGAACCATAAGGTATGTCTGCAAGAAGTTCTGGGCACATGTAACTAGGTGTACCCACCACCTGCAACGAGATCAAATATAAACAATGTAATATTAAGTTTGCACAGAAGAAGTACCTAAGAATGGAGCAACACACTAGCTCAAATACTTACAGAAGAAGCAAGATCATCAGAAGCTAGTACTTTAGCAAGACCGAAATCACCTGAAAATGATCAGAATAGGTGAAGATTGAAATATAAGATGTGATGAAGTCTGAAATAAGAAATTGGTGGATCAGCGCTTTAGAAATTAGGGAGAAATTGAGGATAATGGGCATAAGTTACTTGCCTAAACGTATGTCTCGCTCTTTAGTCAGAAAAATGTTTGAACACTGAAGAAAGTGTGTAGAAAAGTAGATTTAGCTTTACAAATACTATATGGAGATTCAACTGCTTTAAATCTTTAAATACTGAAAACAGGTGAACAAACCTTGACATCACGGTGAAGTATATGGTTTTTATGCAAGTAATCAAGTGCCATCAGTAGTTGAACTAACCACTTACAAAGATTCTGTTTATCGTTAAATGTTCAGATGTAAAAGAAACAGATTCACGGTCAGAAAAGTAAGCTCAATGAAGAAACTGAGAATATGAATAAGTGAATGAGCATAAAACTTGGAAATCAGAAAACCTCCTCTGAGAAGTGAACACCATTGGCCTTTTTAATAGCTTCTGCCCTATATAAACAAAGAATGGAGAATAAAAAGATCAGGTGATAACTATACGATATAGTCAGCCTCGTGATCTACTCACACATCCCAGAAAAGTTCCCGTATTGATATGGCACAGTTTCAAAAAAGGAAGAAAAATAATATGTAGCAATCTTAAATCAGTTTCAATTTTTTCTATGAAGAAAAAGAATGAAAGAACTTCAAAACATGAACTGTTGAAGCAAAACACAGTTTGTCCTAAAAGAGACAAATGAAAGTTAGTGTCAACACCATGGAGAATATTCTTGGGACATCCCAAATAAAAAGTTCACCATGAAAAATATTTGGAATTAACAAGTTTCCACAAGAAAGATAGCTTACATATCTCCACCTTCGCAATACCCAATCACAATGCATACATAACAACCCTGAAATAAGCAACATTTAGTTGTAAATGGGGGGACTAAAGCAAATACACAATAATGGTCGAGCTTCAGACCAAGCCCAGTCCAGCTCAACTCAAGATCATGCTCAGATTGATTAATAACTAAGTTCTGATTATCATGGTCAACCATGACCTTCTAAATGAAGGTACCGAGAATTCAAAGATAGTATCTTGGTAAAGTGAGAGGCAAGAACATATTGAAAATGCACAAGCTCCCATTCATATTCATTATTAGGCGCCTTTTCAGGTCCGAGTTTCCTTTTTCAATATTATGATACCAACTCTCAGTAGAATGTTATCTAACATATCAGGTGTATACCTTTTCCACCCACGAATCTTTGTACTCCACAATATACGGATTCCTTGCTTTAGAGATAAGCTCCATCTGCATAGTGAGAAAAGAACTAGAGGAATTAAGGGGTAAGCACCAAAGACATGATCCTTTTTTAGCCAAAACTAAGCCAGTTTAGAAGGAAAGAAAGTAAGATTCAAAGAGCGACTTCTATGAGATGGAATTTTCATCCACCCAAAAATTTTTAGAGTATCTGTTACTACAGGTAAACCACTCCATATTAACAACAGCAATTATTACAAGTTCCTTATACGTGTGAATTTGAAACACAAAACTTACCTCTACATATCTCAAGTGCATCATTTCAAATATAAAACCAAAACATTCTACTGAAAAAATTCACCCAGTCAAATGATAATGTAGTGTCTCAATGTAACATTGAGAGGCCTTAACTATTTTGACCACTTCTGATTTATTACAGAATATAAATTAGGTAGTCACCTCCTGGTGGGCTGATCTGCGGGTTCTATCAGTCTGTCGAGCAAGGCGAATTTTCTTCAAAACATACCTTACAGCAAAAATGAAAAACACAGCTTACCAATCAAAACATAGAACTAAGGTATCGTTAACATGGCCACTAATCAACTTAGTGCTACGTAAAGAAATAGAAAGGTTCCTTACTTCTTATTTTCCTGTTTATGCCTTACAAGTAGCGCAGAACCAAATGAACCTTTACCAATCTGTTCCAATATATCATAGTTTTCCATTTCCCACACTTTTAACCAACCACCTTAGTACAAGATATTTGTGAAGATATTCAACCCCAAAAGCCACCCACTCAAGGTTGCAAAAATCATATCAAACCATCTGCAGATACATTATCAAAGCAATAAATGTGAACCCCAGTGTGAAAATTGATACTACAGTAGTTCAAACTCCAAGATCATCTTTTTCTTGCAGAAATATGAAATGATTAATGCAGGTTATTCACAGACTACAGCTCCATGTAGGCATGTACCAACATATTCACGTGATTCTGCATTTGAATGCTATATACATAACCTTAGAGAAGAAATAACCAAAAGAAAAGGCAAAAACAATTTGAGAAATTCAGAATATCAGTACCTAAGAAGAAAACCACAACATATATATGCATTTTTCCATAACAAAACCAAGAAAGAGGGTTTATCATATCTGAAACGGAAAAAATATTAAACAAATAGTCCAGTAAGTATAAAATTTAAACTCATGCACACCACCGGCGGATCTAGCACTTGGCAAGCACCGGCAGCTGCCCTAGCTGGATTTGCTGGTATTAAACTTGTTTTGGTATCAATGTATATATTTTTTTGGATATATTATCTGTAATTTCATTTGTTTTCAAACAATTCTTGTAGCTTAGTTGGTTAGAGCACCCATTTAGTAAGTGAAAGGTCTTGAGTTTAACTGGCATTTGGTGGATTTTAACATCAAATGTATCAGATATATCTACGTTCAGTTTTAGCATAGTAATAAATATATTTGATTCTTTACTGCGGCTAACGGTCAATGGCCACACATGCTCACTCCAGATTGTGAATCGGCCACTGAGCACACCACCTAATTTCTTTAAAGTTTTACTAGAATAACCGCTAAATGAAGGCAAAACAATTAATGGTGCTTTGGAGACAATTGCTAGTGCTGTCCCCAACAACGTCTCGCCATTAAAACCAGCTCGCGAGGCGTACCCAAACTAATACGTTCGAAGAAAGAAAAAAATCAATGCAACAAAAGCAAATAGATAGAATAGCAAACATTTCTTGAAAACAATCATTATAAAAAATAGGGGAACTGCTTAAAAATGAGAAAAATGTTTACCTGAAGTTAAGGTGAAGACGTGAAGTGTAGATCTTCAACTCCAAGGGAGGTGGGCATGAGAAATTGGTATTTACTTTTTTATGATTTAGGTCAAATATACAGAACAAAGAAAAAGAAATTGGAACACAGGAGCGGCAAAAAGAAAAACGCCGTGATACTCAAAAGGGGGAATTTCAAACTTCAAAATCTGATTCTCTATTTCAAGATAACAACAAAATTGGAAATGTATTGACCTAAATATACAGCACTCCTATATACATATATTTTCTAATGGTCCCCAACCTATTGTTTCATTAACAAATTGATTCCAAACTTTAAAAGAGCAAATTTAGCTCCAACCTTCGACCATATAGTCATGGCAATAGAACCTATCATCTGATCATCTCCATGCTTGTTTGAAATAGCTTAAAAAGTTTAGATAGACAGTCAACAAATAATTTGGATGGTTATTGACGAAGAATAAGAAAATATTTACCGATGAATCAAAACCTCCGTTTGAATCTCATTAATATTCATTCCATTACATTCAATTTTTCTCACTCTTATTTTTAACCACACAATCTTTCATAAAATAATATTACATGCAAATCGAAAACTTTTTCTTCTTTTTGAACCATTCATTTTTCAAAAAAACACAATTTTACCCATTTTCATTTCCAAAAAATGGGGGCCAAGCGGGGGTAAAATGAGCAATTCTAATTTTTAATTCTATAGCATTGAAGTTAAATTTTCAATTCGAACTTAGTCCTATTTGATGCCCATTATTAAGAAAAATGATGTTTTGAATATTGATTCTTTAAAGAAATTGTGGTTAAAATGTAGGAAATTTTTTGAATTTACGTGCAAAATACTTTATTATGTTAATTTATGATTAAAAATGAGTATGAAATTAAAGAATTTTATTTTAAAGGGAGACGGACATCAAATTAAACTAGTATCTATAGCCTATAGTGGGGCAAGCTTTTCACGTAGCAAATTGTCAAGATCGAAACAATTTTGATCATTAAAGATTGATTGTGCAGTAGTAACTAAAGTCATATCATCATGCTCATTTTTAAAGGTTAAGGACATGTTTTCAAACTTTTCATTGGATTACAAATTGTAAATTATACGAACCAAAGTGAGATAAAAATATGTACGGGAGATTCTGGAAAAGGACAGAAGTAGGGTAGGGTATGGAGTAGGTATAGGTGCACGGGGCATGGGGGACTCAGATGTCAGCGAATAAAATTTGGATAGTTTTTTTCAGGTAAGCAGGATTATTGCTTTAATTAATCAAATCAATTTGCAAGAAATTAATTAGATGCACGAATGAGGCAAGGATGGAGAGTTTTTGGCCTTTTGTTTTGGCGCCGACAATATTCGTGATCTCCATTGAAGTTTCAGAATTATTACCCCTACGTATAATAAAATTATATTTCAAAATTCAAGTATTAATTCTAATTAATAATTTATATAATATATAATTAATTTCCTCACCCAATTAATGGTATCCCACCCCTACCAAATTAATAATATCCCACATCGCCTCACCACACCCCCAACGTGTAAAAATTTTTCCAAAAATTAAAAATCTTTTAGGGAGGTTACACCCCACGCCAGAACCACCTCCACACTTGAAATTCTTTTTTCAAAAATTGAAAATTTTACTTGAGATAACACCCTCACCTCGAAACCTCCTTCCCCACGCCGATGAAATCTTCTCAGATTTGTGACTAACTGTGTTGTCTGTGACCATATTTTTTGTGATCAAACTTGTGTTATATTTGATTAATTGTAATCATTTTTTTTTTCAATGTGACTGTTTGTAACCACTAAATATATTAAAGTCACAATATCATAAAATTTATAGTCATAATCACAAATATTTTAGGTTACAAGTTATCAAATTAATTAGTCACACTTTTTTTCAATCACAAAATCTATAGGTCATTATTTATTTATTGATCATAAATTAACAAATTAATAGGTTATGAATTATTTCTTGCGGGGAGAGAGAGAGAGAGAGAGAGAGAGAGTTGGCGTGGCGTGGGGATTAAATGGCTATCAAATATGATGGAGATGAGAGAGAGAGAGATAACATGATTTAGGGTTAAGGTTTGGGTAGGACGGGGTGCAGTCGTTATGTAAATTAATTTAGTTTTATAATATTAAAAAATTTAAATTATCACTTGATTTTTTATCAAAAAAACTTTTAAACATTAATTTTGAATTGTAGAGTTTATTTGTAGGTTTTTGGCTAATTTGCCCTCATTATAATTTTTAGAATTCGTTTGACATAATTTCTACTTTTATTTTTTTGAAAAAAGAGGTTTTGATGAAATCTAATTTCGTTTTTGTTCGAAATTTCAATTTTAAAAGAGACGAAAATACTTTTAGAGGAAGCCACATTATACCAACTTTATCTAAAAAACTCTTTTAACTACCGAAAAGACTTTCATTATATTAGTCAACGGGCACATCAAAAGCTTTTGGATCTCGAAAACTCATTTTGATTTTTCAAAAATCATGCCAAACAAGCCCTTAGATGATTGTTGGATTATTGTACAATATAATGTCAATGCGTCTTAGATTAAAATTTGTAAATTCAATTTCAGTTATATATGTTTTAAAATTGCAGAAAATTGTGTTTAGTTTAGCCATTTTGTAAAGCTATTTTTCAAAATAACCAAATTGGTAAACATATTTTGTTAATTTTTTTTTTTAATATAAATTTTGAGTATTTGACTTGCCGAGATTTTAATTATTTTTATTTTCTATGTTTTGAGTGATTTTCACCGAAAACACTCAAAACATAAAAAAAAAAAAATGCCTTAAATATTGCCTCTGTTTATCTTCTATTGAAAGATATTTTTGGGGAAATGAATTTTGAAATATGACTTTTTAGAGAATGTGTGGTTTAAAGTAATTAAAAATTTTAGTCTATATATAAAATATTTTATCATGTGAATGAGTGGTTGAAAATGAGTTGAAAAAAAATGTGTTTTGACTTAATGGAAGACAAATAGGGGCTTATGTTATAAACTGATATTATTTTTAAAAATATAAAATCAAAAATATAAAATCAAAATTTTTTCGTTTGTTTTACAATGCCCCTGTTTGATCCCCATTTTTTTGGAGAAAATGAATTCTTAAACAGTGTTTTGACATAATTTCAACCACACATTCTTTAATAAAATAATATTACACGCAAATTCAAAAATTTTCCTTATTTTTTAATCGCACATTTCACATCAAGACACTATTTAAAAATTCACTTTCCCCATCAAAATGGGACTCAAACAAGGGCAATATTGAAAAAAGTTTGGAAATAGCAAGCCAAATGTCCCTTAATTTCTCTTTATTTGTATTCAATCAATTGTCTTGACATTAGTATTAAACATTATTAAATGTAACTTCTCTGTAAATTATTTTTTTGTCAAATTTAAGTAACTTCATAATCTAGTACTATATTGTCTTTTAGTCTCTCCAATAATTACTAAAGTAGATAGTGTGCTAACGTTTATGAGGAAGAAAAAAAAATAGAGGTTGGACATGAGCATAGACGTGTTAGATGGACTGAGTCGAGCAAAATCGATTCAATTTATCAAAATGTGGCTCAACTCATCTCACGAACTCGCCCAAGGGACTCTTCATTTTATTTTTACTAAATTGCATTTTCATTCATTATTACGAAATAGCTTGACTTGCACAAGAAATTCGTTGTTTGACTTGTTAGTGGGGTGAATCAAGTCAATGAACAACTCGTCTCACTTAACACCCCTACATAAGGATGCATGGGCATTTGACAAGCTTTCAAACCTTAACAATTTTACTATTTTTTTGTTACATTGCAACAAACGTAATGCTGCTCATCATGACCGACGTACCTACATGAAAATTGCACTTTGGTTTCGTAGCCGCTTTAGTTTTTAAAATTTTATTATTATTTCTAACCACTTTTCTATCTCATTTCCTTTTGGAATCCCCGAGCATAGCCAAGACGCGTTGAATATTTTCATTTTAAGTATTATAATTAAATAAACAACTTGAAGAGAGATGTAAGCAAGGTTTGGATTAAATATTAAATATGATTTATTTTTATTTAAAGAAATAAGTCAAAATACAATTTAGCAAAAGTACGAAAGGTGAACAAATGGCTGGACTAGTGTAATAATTAGTCAAAGTCATAGTATATTAATTATTTTAGATAACAAGATTTTATTTTATTTATTATTCCAAAATAACACCAAACAACAAGCAATTAATATACACTTATTTGTTATGCTGAAATTATTTGTAAAAAAAATTAACATGATAAAATAAATTTAAGTGGAAATTACACCATTCCATACTTTATAAATTCACAATTCTAAAATCATATGAGTAGTTTAACATTTCAAAAATCAGATACTTTGTTTTAATTAATATTTTACTAAATATATTATATACTCCAATAATCAAAACCCTAATTAAATTTCCACATTCTCTTTCTCCTCTCTGTCGTCTCTCTCTCTCTCTCTCTCTATTCCCCGACGGTAAACGAAGACGCTGAAGTAGAGGCGCCTATATCGCCGGTCGATAGTGAGTTGCCCATCGCCTGTATCGCCGGTCGAAAGGTTCTTTGCGGCTATAGCTACTTCGTCCTTGCATCGATTTTTCCATGGTGGCGATGCTATGGTGGTAGAGGCGTTTCACGCAGTGAAGGGGATTACGGTTGTTGGCGATGGTGGTGGATCTAATGGGGATGGTGGAACTGGTGGTGGAAGTGAGTTTTGTGGTGGTGTTTGTATTGCGCAGGTGTGGTGCCGTGGGTTGTGGAAGAGGTGGTGGTGCGTGGTTGCGATGATGTGTAGGGATGGTGGTTGGGCATGCTGTTGTGTAAGGGTACGGTGGTATTGGCGGCATGGTGGTTGCTCTAGCAGTGTGCGGTGCTGCTGACTGGTTGTTTTGAGATGGTGGGTTGATCTATGGTGGCAGATTTGATGGTTTGGTGGTGTTTTGGCAGAACTGGTGTTTTGGTGGTGGTTAGCGGTGATTGTGGTAATGGGTGGGGGCGATGGTGAGATGTTGGTGGCTATGATCTATTGAGGTGGATATGTTGATTCGTTTGACGATGGTGTTGTTGACGGGTGGTGGCGGCGGCGGTGGTGGCGATTCTGCCTTGGTGGTGGCGGTTCTGCCTTGATGGTGGCAGTGGTCGTCGCAAATGTTAATGGTGGTCA